GCGGCTCCCCGCTTATGCAAATGAAGCCCGGGAAATTCAAATCCCGGGCTTCATTTGCAAGTGCGGTATGCCTACATTACCCTCCTAGTTCGAACTAGCGGGGCAGTGTAGACATACCCTTAGTGAGAGAGACAAGCTTTAGCATTTCCACAGAAGTTGGCCCAGTAAAAGATATTACCTCATGTGCCTTGTCTCTCTGAAAAATAGGATACCGCATTAGTTTGACAGGATCGATTTTCCATAAACTCTTGTTGATCAGCATTAATTATATTACTCTCCTTTCATTCCTTATCCATTGATCCTATATCAGCTATTCCATTATCTTGCCCGCGATTGATCAATTAGGGAGCTCTTCAGCTAATAAAGACTTGTTGCTGGACTTCGCATTCTCGTGGGACATATCACAGCAGTTCCAGTGTCTTCAGTACAGGCAATGGTTGATCCGAATGACTGGCAATAGGGTATGGAAATATTCACCTGCCTCACTGGCACTCCTAGGCAATCGAGACTGAAAGCCAGCAACCTGTGTAAATCAAAGCTAGTGACTACAGGTCCTATCTAGGGTTGCTACCTTCATGATGTAGGAAAAAAATGGCTGCTGTCCAACACTACCCCTCCCAAACATTCTCTATACTCTCGGCCCCTCCCCCTTTTTTGCGCAGGTCACACAGATGGCAGTGCAAGTGGGAGGCAAGAGATGGTTTGAGGCCTTCTCAACTCTTGTCTTCTCATTGCCCTTACCTCCTGTGCTTCTTGGGATTCCCTCCGAGTTCTCCCAAAGTGTCCTCAGCTGCTGGGAGCAGCATAATGGGTAGCTCTGTGAGCTTTGCATGCGGAGGAATGTCAGAGAAAGGCAAAAGGGGAATATTCCAATGATTTGCTATTTTTTTGTTTCCCAAACAGAGCAGCTCACTCAGCTGTCATATACTTCCCAAAGCTTTAAAAGGGGAGGGGCACATGCCTGCAGGGCAGCAGAGATCACATAACACTGAGCACAGTCATCAGGGCAGGCATTGTGGAATACTGGTGGAAGCCAGTTCTCACGACAAAACTGAGTCTACACTAGCTCTTTCTTGACAATAAAGGGAGGGGAGTACATAGAGCTGGTCAATAGGAAGTAGTGGAGGCTGTATCAATGTCAAGAATGGCTTGATAGTTAAGAAGTTGGGAGAAATGGAGTGGAAATTAGGTCCAGATGGATGACCCAAGTGGTTCAGATGCCCCAGGGAGGGGCGTGGTGTAAAAAGAACAAAACAGAACAGAATTTCTTGCCCTGTTTTGATTCTCTTAGCCCAGCTTAGCAGAATCACTGTAAAACAGGCTTGCATTTGCCATTCGCTCCATTCTATTGTCGACGAGAGAATGAGCACAAGTAAACTTCAACACACAATGTGGGTTGTTTTTGTTTGCTGCAGCTTAATTATCTGGTTTCATTGAGTCTTTTCTGTCTTTCAATTCCTGATGGGAAGACTCTGGGTTTTGATGCATCCCACTTGTGGATAGTTTTATGGAACAAAACAGAACAATACCATTGTTCTATTTCTCTCCAGGGTCTGTTTGGGAAAACGCATGAAACCTTAACAATAATGCGCATGTCAAGAACACTTTCCTTTCAAAGCTTATCAAGGCACTGAACAAACATCAATGAATTTAACCTTGCAGTAGTCCTGCAACATCAGTTGTATTCCCATACCACAGATGGGGAAACTGAGGCATGGACAGGGTCGCACTCAAAGTCCTTGAGCATATTGGTGGTAGAGCTGGGAAAGAGAACCAAGATCTCCTGAGTCGCAAAGCTGTGTGTCCATCAGTAGACAATACTTCCTCTTTGAAAGCTCACACCATCATGTTTTTTAATCAGTGCAGAACATACTTTCTGATGGATGGATGGATGGATGAGTCTTCAGCATCAATTCAGCTGGCTGAGAGCACTCTGTCCTGACTATCTGGCCCAGGTGATGGAGCGCCTCATTACCAACTCCCTGAGCGAATTTCAGAGTTTCCAGGGGCAGCATCAAATCAGGGCCCTGGGAGTCAGGCTGCAATGGAAACAACTCTTTTGTTTTTAGCAGGGTCTGGTTTTTAGTAGATCATCCGAGAGTGGAGTAGAGGTAAGAGTAGACCCCTGACAAAATCTATGTCTGGAGCCCGATTAGACATTGAAGGTCAGATTATCAAAGGTTTCTGGACACCAACAAATATACCTAGACATCTAAATCAGCTGGAGTTAGGCACTTGCATGCAAATATACTTACAAAAACTGGCCTAGTCAGATATTACAGGAAAGGATAGATAGATAGATAGATAGATAGATAGATAGATAGATAGATAGATAGATAGATAGATAGATAGATAGATAGATAGATAGTGTATGTGAGGATACTGAGGATTTGTCTACACTACAAGTTTTTGTGGCAGAGTATGCTAATGACAGACTCATTAGCATGAGTCGCGATGTCATTAGCATATTTTCTGCCGATGCTTTTTGTGCAAGGGGTTTTTGCGCAAAAAGAAGCAGTGTAGCTGCTTCCGTTTTGCACAAAAAAAACCTTTTGCGCAAGATCCAGGAGATGTGGATGAGGGCTGGTAGATAAACAGGGAGACAGACATAGGTAAAATATAACTAGCTAGTTGATCCATTCTCTGTTATGCTGCTGTAAATCTGGTGACACTTCTACTGACTTTGCTGGATGGATCTTAGAGTTAAACCCCTGATCCCTACGGAGACCTTCCATCAGCCACTTGGACCAGCTCCACATGGCTTCTTCCCGTAGATCAGCCCAGTTGCACAACTTTGGGTTAATTAATTCAACAAGCTCTACTGGGTTTCCAGAAATAGCCGTCTCCATACCCTGCCCTGCCTGCGGGGGATGGTCTGCTTGTGACAGGAGAAGATCGTGATGTAATGAAGCCAGCACTAGGCGTTATTAAAACAAATGACACTAGAGACCCCCAGGGAGCAAAGAGGTGGGGGAGGGCTGAAAGCCACTAGGTCTTTTTAAACACAACACAATTTTGAATAATATAGCTGCTTACCCTGACGGCTGCCTGAAAGCAAACCTCTGGCAGGCAGTCATTCTCCAGTGCGCCTGGGATGGGGTCGCCGGGGCTGGAACACACTTTCTGAATTGAAGCAGTGGACTGTGAAATAGGAATTACTGACAGCTCTTAAGTATATCAAGAGAACGGCCCTATTTCTTAATACAGAGCCACTAATAGACATCTAGAAACCTATAAAAGAGACAATTCCTCTATATCATCCTAGTTAAATCAATGTACTTATATTACCCTCATCATTTTCCCTTTAACGTTTATTACATTTTTGCCACTGTAATTTATTTTTTCATATCCATCAGCCGATTAAAGACTTTATTCTGAAGATACACAAATCCTTGCGACCGAGTTGAAACTGACCTAAACTGTTCAGTAAAACAATGTGAAGGAGCTTGGGATTTTTCTCCCCACTTTCTCTCCTTTCTCTTTAAACTCGTTCTCCTGCTTGAACCAGCATCTTGCTGTCCAGGAGTGTAACTTATGCATCTTCTCCTCTCTCTCTACCAATGTGAAAAGTCTCAGAGAGGTAGCTGTGTTAGTCTGTATCTGCAAAAACAACTAGGAGTCTTGCGGTACCTTACAGACTAATATGCCGTAATAAATCTGGGAGTTTCTAACTTGCTACGGGACTCCACATTGTTTCTACCTATGTGGGTACTTTCATGGGAGCCTTCGTTCTAGTTTCCGACTCAACTGAGGAATGTTGATGTCTGTGAGATGGGAAAGTAGCAGCATTCCTGGTTTACACAACGATTGTGCAGCACAGAGAGAACCAGGGCTACATTGTCTCGTGATGACCAGTCCAGGGGAGGTGTGAAACAGTTGTGTAGTACCATACTTTGCCACCAGCATGAAGTCAATTGCTACCAGCCATGACCAATGACATATCACAAACTGCTTCCCTACTAGCGCAGCTGTGCTGGCCAGTGCCTTTGGGATGGACAATTCCCAGCTTTCATGGCTCACTTGCCTGGAGGTGGGTAGGAAAATCCCAGGCATAGATCCCTCGCTATCCCATCCTGCCTCAGTATGGTGGGTGTATCCCATGTGACAGAGCAGGTGAAAGGACTTGGTGGAAGGGGAAAGAGGCTGCTCTGGCAGAGAACAGCAGCAATCCTGGCTAATTAGGGGCAGCTGAGCCAGGGCGGCTGCAAATCAATTAAGGCCCAGGTGAAGCTGATTGGGGCTGCCACAAGGCCTCTTAAAAAACTCTCCCTGTGGGGGAAGGAGGGAGAGACAGAAGGAGCGTGGAGAGGAGTAAACAACCCCGGCTGTGTCTACACTGGCCCCTTCTTCGGAATAGCCATGCTAATTTAGAACTTTGGAATAGGGAAATGCGCGGGGGATTTAAATATCCCCTGTGGGATTTAAATAAACATGGCCGCCGCTTTTTTTCCAGCTTGGGGAAAAGCCGGAAAAGAGCGTCCAGACTGGCGCGATAAAGCCAGAGGAATAAATTCCTACTTGAAAGTAGGAATAAGAGATCCTCCGGAATAGGGCTTTATTCCGGAGGATCGCGCCAGTCTGGACGCTCTTTTCCGGCTTTTCCCCAAGCCGGAAAAAAAGCGGTGGCCATGTTTATTTAAATCCCGCGGGGGATATTTAAATCCCCGTGCATTTCCCTATTCCAAAGGTCTAAATTAGCATGGCTATTCCGAAGAAGGGGCCAGTGTAGACACAGCCCCAGTGTTAAGGAGACTCAGAGTGGAGGAGTAGGAGGAACCACCAGCCCTGCTAAAGGCTACAGGGGGAGGTGAGGCGTTGAGCAGGGAATTCTGGAGGGCTCTTTTAGCCCCCGCCCCCCGGGGCAAGAAGAGGGCTTCCTGGTCAGCTGCGACTGGCCCAGGGCTTCAGCCCAATACACCCTCCTTTATGCTAAGGGCCAGGAAGGCCCAGGGACAAAAACTCTGCAGGCGAGGGCCTTGCTGCAACCCTCAAAGGGTGGGACAGTGGACAAAACAGTGGTCAGGGTCTCAGGAGGGAGACTGACCCTGCCACACCCAGTATTGCCACCAGTTCAAGAGCTGCCCATGTGCTTGTCTTTAAACACCATCTCCTGCTGCCTTAAAATCAGACCGTAACCAAGAAGGGATGTACTGGAGAGTCAGACCT